CAAAAAAAAGAAGAAATCAGTGCTTTCCTGTCTAAGATTCAGAAATTAGACATTTCCCATTGACACTTGCAAACTAATAAGTTCTTGCTCAGATTGATATACATCAACAATAACCTTTTTGTATTTTGTAAAATTGGGAAGGGTTACAATCCCCTGGCATGATATCACCCAGCCCCTCCTTTTTGTTCTGGATGTCAGCTGGGCATGAAGTGAGAAGAAAATTCCCACACAGGCATGAAACTCTTCCCTACTATTCAAAACAATTGGCTGGAGATCTACCTTAAAATGTATAACATTTTCTATTCATTACAAAATATCTGTCCTACTAAAGCATTATATTATAAACCCAGACAAATACCCCCTGGGTGCATCCCGCTTTGCTATTTATTGTAGCTGCTTTGAGCATTGCCCTGTTTGATTTATCCCTTTTCCTCCTGCAATGTTTGCTTGGTGTTCCATGTTTCTGTTTTCCCTGGCTTCCTTCTTCCTCCCTTGCTTTTAGGAATACCTATCCCTCGCTGATGCTCTCTGCTTGTACAATGCTTCATCTTCTACTCTTAAGTTTCACCCTGACATATTTGACTCTGAGGTACAATATCTAATTTACTATTAAATAATTCCATGTGAGGTAAATTGTATTTAGTAAGGAAACTTGTATTTAGTATTTGCCCTTATTGGATTCTTGAGCAAGTACACACCTGTTCAGAAGAGCTGTACTCTTGGTATCCTGAAGGCAGGTTTAATTTGTATCACAGGCAGATAGAGATGTATTGTGACCACAACTGCCAGTTCTAAGTGACATTGGTGTTCTCTGAATGCACCTCCAGGATCTGCATGCATATTCAGGGAACACAGCATTGTGATTGTGTGCTGCCAGCTATGCTCATGTCTGACATGATGACTGCTCCTGACTCGGAGAAAACCTGCAGTCAGAATGTATTAAAAGCAGCACTCAAGAGATAGAAGTTGTGCTCCCTGCAACTGGTGTGTACAGGGCCTTAGAATCATACTGCATGCTTCTAATTCTTTCAGATAAATGAAATCTACAATTTTATTTATTACAGTTTTTTATTGTCGCGTTTTATAGCAAGCACAGATTTTTTTCTGTATGCAAGGATAAGATGGTTGCAGCACTTTTAGAAGTAGTATGTAATGCTAACAGAACATTAGCTTTAGTTAGCCTGTGTACTACTTAAATCATAATATCAGCCATACAGCACTAAAACACATACAAAGGAGCTGTTTTACATTACAAAGGATTTGCCATGTATGTCCTGAGATTTACAAAGTCTTTCAGACAGCATGGCTAGCCTGGTGACCCCACATTTCTTTACTTCACATAGGAAATTTAGCCTGATCACCTTCTTGCTCCCAGCCTGTGCTTGGACAGTGAAGGAGCAGCAGCAGAATGATGAAATTGTCTCTCTGCTCCTTCATTATGTCAGAAAGATTCTAATACCGCTAACGTACAAAATAGCCGACCTTGTAAACCAAACCCTTGTGCCCACACTGCTATTGGGAGTCAGCTGCAGTTATACTATCCAAATAAAGAGGCCATATGGCAAGGTCAGTGGGTCAAAACAGCTCAGAATACAGTTAATTTAAACAAGAATAAGTATTTCCCAACATGACAATAAAGCTGTATTGATATATGGTCAGCTGCAGTTATGCTGTTTCTTTGACTACCCCTACTTTTGAACTATAGTGATTGATAACAAAGAGAAGGGGTGAACAGTGACCTATCCCAGGTATGACATTAGGTAAAAAAAACTCTCTTCCATGTGTGCCACAGCTTTGGTGGCATAGGGATCCCATAAGCAGGAATCTTTTCATGAAAAATAGCTTTTTATGAAAATTTAATTAGGTTTTTTTTTTTTTTTTTTTTAAGGTAATGGCAACAAGTGCTTCTGCTTGCTGTGATTTTGTTAAAATGTATCTATACCCAAGAACAAAAATTTAACATATTGCTGTTTACAGATCCTTAAATGTGGCGGCTGCATTCAATTTACTACTTTTTTCACCTGCTGATCCTGCCAGCAACACATTTCCTGACCTAGGTGACAACACTCACTGACGGTACTGTCTATGGAGGAGCAGCATTGTCACCCTAGGCTGCTCTAGTGATTCACATTACAAGTACCTCATCCTTTCTTCACCTTTATTACATAGGGAGGAGGTGTTCTGTAGATCACATGAGATATCTGGGAAAGCTGATAACATTGTTTGAGATATCAGTTCACATGAAGGACTCTGAAATTCTAGCAAGATCAACATGTATTTTTCAGTACATGGCAAAAATGTTTTTAGACTGAAACAAAAACGAATGCAGCCAACACATCTAAGGACTAGAACATAAAAGTATTAGAGCTGCTGTTTCTGACTTGATTTTATCCTCATCCTTGCTTCACTGAGCAGTAATTGATTGGCCAAGAGAGAAAGACACAGCAAGTAAAAGTATTCATTTCCAACCTGCATAATCATTCTGGGTCAGTGACTAAAGCTGTACTTTGTTCAACTGAACAAAGTACTTTTAAGCAAAACGTACAATAGTAAGCATATTTGAATAACAAAAAATAGATCAATATTCTTTCACATAAGAGTTGGAGGATCCCAAAATGGTTTGAATAAAGCCATTGAGCAAGGTTTATAACTGAGACTAAATACAAATCTTAAAGAAGAACTTCGGGCTAAACTTTTATGAACACTTGTAGTGGGGCGACCCCCTGTACGGCTCATTTATGTCTAGGTTTTAAAAAAATGTTATACTCACCCAAACCTCTGAGCCGGCTCACTTCTTCTTTGGTCTCTGAAACCCATCTCCTCCTTCACTGCAGCATTGGAGAGGTCCTTGGCGTCCTCACATCTATACACAGTGTATAGAATGTGATGATAGAACCGCTGCAGAGGAAGGGGAGAGAGGCTGGAACAACCGACCTAAGAGCAGGACAGTTCCACCGTTCCGGTTGACTGCAACTTC